CTGTCTGATTCAGGCCTGTCTGAGTGGACTAATCCAGACACCTGTCTGATTCAGGCCTGTCTGAGTGGACTAATCCAGACACCTGTCTGATTCAGGCCTGTCTGAGTGGACTAATCCAGACACCTGTCTGATTCAGGCCTGTCTGAGTGGACTAATCCAGACACCTGTCTGATTCAGGCCTGTCTGAGTGGACTAATCCAGACACCTGTCTGATTCAGGCCTGTCTGAGTGGACTAATCCAGACACCTGTCTGATTCAGGCCTGTCTGAGTGGACTACTCCAGACACCTGTCTGATTCAGGCCTGTCTGAGTGGACTAATCCAGACACCTGTCTGATTCAGGCCTGTCTGAGTGGACTAATCCAGACACCTGTCTGATTCAGGCCTGTCTGAGTGGACTAATCCAGACACCTGTCTGATTCAGGTCTGTCTGAGTGGACTAATCCAGACACCTGTCTGATTCAGGCCTGTCTGAGTGGACTAATCCAGACACCTGTCTGATTCCCACCTGTCTGAGTGGACTAATCCAGACACCTGTCTGATTCAGGCCTGTCTGAGTGGACTAATCCAGACACCTGTCTGATTCAGGCCTGTCTGAGTGGACTACTCCATTGCGGAAGCCGCGGGGGTGGTACACCAGCATCACCAGTAGTACATTTACATTAATTACCATAATGTCTAATCTACTATGTTTGTTTGTTTACGCTCATTTCTGTTAATGCATTCAATATATTATTATTCCAGTCTTACCGTTGTTATTGTAGGAGCGGACACGTTGTTTGCAGAGTGCACAACCTAGGCTACACTTGTGAAAACAAGTTTGGGATTATTTCATTCCATTTACGAGTTGTCAATTTAGTCATTGTCTTCTGTTTCCAGCACTCCTGTCAATCTTCAGTAAGGACACGCACCTGATTACGCATAGAAGTAGGCCTATAGGCTACCTGGCCTGTGCGAAAATGTAGGCCTATAAATGTGCCCATTTGGGGATCTGATACTATTTACATTTTACATTTACATTTTACATTATTTAGCAGACGCTCTTATCCAGAGCGACTTACAGGAGCAATTAGGGTTAAGTGCCTTGCTCAAGGGCACATCGACAGATTTTTCACCTAGTTGGCTCGGGGATTAGAACCAGCGACCTTTCGGTTACTGGCACAACGCTCTTAACCACTAAGCTACCTGCCGCCCATTTCTGATTGTCTTAACTCACCATCACTGTGTAGCTTCTCAAATAAGTGTTTTCTTTGCCTCAAACAGCAAGTAAACAAAGTATGTTTTTACATCCATTGAGAATGACAACAGTTCCTCAACGTAGTCTTTTCAGTTCTCTCCCTTTCGATTACCACTCAGCGTGAAAACACGTCATGCTCTGATCCGGTGGAAACGTCATAGTATAGGCCTACCTGATTACTTCTTATCCCTTGGCGCAAATAGTCTACAGCTGTGTCTGTCCGGAGTTCACTGGCACAGGAAACTCTGAGGGCCCAGAATATTTTATACAATGTTGCTAGTTTGCTAGCACCAGCTTCAGGCAGGACCTGATGGATGATACAATGTTTCAAGTTCCTTGCAGACAGGCCACTAGTAGCCAATGTGATTTATAGGATATTAATTTTTATCAGGATATTTTCTACCTGCAGGCTACAATGTTTTTATTTGTTGGCTTTATGGAGGCTATTTTTACATAGTTGGCAATGGGTTACTTTTAGATTTATATCATTTTCATTTAGATAGGATTTTGATTAACCACATGACATTGATTTTGAGATATGAAGACTTCATTATAAATGAAATGATACTGTTCAACGAAAATGTGCATACGAAAATCATAACTGCCGCGCAGATCAGTAGAAATTATATGATACATTGGCACTCCAAATGGAAACGGACGCTGAATGGAGGGTCACAGTGCTTAAAGCATCAGACAACCTCATTAGTCTACATATAGTTGATTTTACTCAAACATAGGGTGTGTCTATATATGGAAAAATACACATTAAAAAAATTCTGACCAATGGATTGGTCGAAAGAACAGAGCAGGTTAGTGCAGGTAGGCCTAGACAGAGAAAGTGTTTGGTGGTTGCAGCCCTGTCCCACCCCTTTATGTTAATGTATTAATATATGAATACAGCCAGCGTATGCAACCTATGCAAATTAGGCACATATAATGTCCTTTATTTTAACAAAAAATCATTTTTTAAATACCTGATACTATAAGAAAATGTATATACAGTTGAAGTCGGAAGTTTACATACACTTAGGTTGCAGTCATCAAAACTCGTTTTTTTCAACCACTCCACAAATTTCTTGTTAACAAACTATAGTTTTGGCAAGTCGGTTAGGACATCTACTTTGTGCATGACACAAGTAATTTTTCCAACAATTGTTTACAGACCGATTATTTCACTGTATCACAATTCCAGTGGGCCAGAAGTTTACATACACTAAGTTGACTGTGCCTTTAAACAGCTTGGAAAATTCCAGAAAATGATGTCATGACTTTAGAAGCTTCTGATAGGCTAATAGACATCATTTGAGTCAATTGGAGGTGTACCTGTGGATGTATTTCAAGGCCTACCTTCAAACTCAGTGCCTCTTTGCTTGACATCATGGGAAAATCAAAAGAAATCAGCCAAGACCTCAGAATTTGTTTTGTAGATCTCCACAAGTCTGGTTCATCCTTGGGAGCAATTTCCAAACGCCTGAAGGTACCACGTTCATCTGTACAAACAATGCTACGCAAGTATAAACACCATGCAGCCGTCATACCGCTCAGGAAGGAGACGCGTTCTGTCTCCTAGAGATGAACGTACTTTGGTGCGAAAAGTGCAAATCAGTCCCAGAACAACAGCAAAGGACCTTGTGAAGATGCTGGATGAAACAGGTACAAAAGTATCTATATCCACAGTAAAACGAGTCCTATATCGACATAACCTGAAAGGCTGCTCAGCAAGGAAGAAGCCACTGCTCCAAAACCGCCATTAAAAAGCTAGACTACGTTTTGCAACTGCACATGGGGACAAAGATCATACTTTTTGGAGAAATGTCCTCTGGTCTGATGAAACAAAAATATAACTGTTTGGCCATAATGACCATCGTTATGTTTGGAGGAAAAAGGGGGTTGCTTGCAAGCCGAAGAACACCATCCCAACCGTGAAGCACGGGGGTGGCAGCATCATGCTGTGGGGGTGCTTTGCTGCAGGAGGGACTGGTGCACTTCACAAAATAGATGGCATCATGAGGAAGGAAAATGATGTGGATATACTGAAGCAACATCTCAAGACATCAGTCAAGAAGTTAAAGCTTGGTCGCAAATGGGTCTTCCAAATGGACAATGACCCCAAGCATACTTCCAAAGTTGTGGCAAACTGGCTTAAGGACAACAAAGTCAAGGTATTGGAGTGGCCATCACAAAGCCATGACCTCAATCCTATAGAAAAGTTGTGGGCAGAACTGAAAAAGCGTGTGCGAGCGAGGCCTACAAACCTGACTCCAGGAGGAATTGGCCAAAATTCAAAGCTTGTGGAAGGCTACCCGAAACGTTTGACCCAAGTTAAACAATTTAAAGGCAATGCTAACAAATACTAATTGAGTGTATGTAAACTTCTGACCCACTGGGAATGTGATGAAAGAAATTAAAGCTGAAAATTATTCTGACATTTCACATTCTTAAAATAAAGTGGTGATCCTAACTGACCTAAGACAGGGAATTTTTACTAGGATTAAATGTCAGGAATTGTGAAAAAACTGAGTTTAAATGTATTTGGCTAAGGTGTATGTAAACTTCCGACTTCAACTGTATGAGTGCATTCTAAGACCCATGGGGCGGCGCACAATTGGCCCAGCGTCGTCCAGGGTAGGGGAGGGAATGGCCGGTAGGGATGTAGCTCAGTTGGTAGAGCATGGCGTTTGCAACGCCAGGGTTGTGGGTTTGATTCCCACGGGGGGCCAGTATAAAAAATAATGTATGCACTCACTAACTGTAAGTCTGGATAAGAGCGTCTGCTAAATGACTAAAATGTAAATGTAAGAAAACAATTATGAAATTTGGCAATAAATATAATACCTGATTCCCAACAATCTCCATGAATTATTTGTCCATGCCAGTAATGCTTTATGTGCTATAATTAAGTCAATATCTGATGGATTATAAACATCTAAAAGTTTGGAGTATCTTCATCCATTGTACAACTGTTGCATTTATTATAATTGTTTTAAAAATATTTTTAAAATGTTAATATGACCGTTGCTACTGTGATTCAGGATGCATTGGGACACAGTGATCCAGGATGCATTGGGACACTGTGATCCAGGATGCATTGGGACACTGTGATCCAGGATGCATTGGGACACTGTGATCCAGGATGCATTGGGACACTGTGATCCAGGATGCATTGGGACACTGTGGTCCAGGATGCATTGGGACACTGTGGTCCAGGATGCATTGGGACACTGTGGTCCAGGATGCATTGGGACACTGTGATCCAGGACGCATTGGGACACTGTGATCCAGGATGCATTGGGACACTGTGATCCAGGATGCATTGGGACACTGTGATCCAGGATGCATTGGGACACAGTGCATTGGGTTCCATGTTCTGTAGCTCCCAGTAGGTAAAAATAACAATGACCACAGACACAACCCTGTCCCAATGACCACAGACACAACCCTGTCCCAATGACCACAGACACAACCCTGCCCCAATGACCACAGACACAACCCTGTCCCAATGACCACAGACACAACCCTGTCCCAATGACCACAGACACAACCCTGTCCCAATGACCACAGACACAACCCTGTCCCAATGACCACAGACACAACCCTGTCCCAATGACCACAGACACACACCCTGTCCCAATGACCACAGATACAACCCTGTCCCAATGACCACAGACACAACCCTGTCCCAATGACCACAGACACAACCCTGTCCCAATGACCACAGACACAACCCTGTCCCAATGACCACAGATACAACCCTGTCCCAATGACTACAGATACAACCCTGTCCCAATGACCACAGACACAACCCTGTCCCAATGACCACAGATACAACCCTGTCCCAATGACCACAGACACAACCCTGTCCCAATGACCACAGATACAACCCTGTCCCAATGACCACAGACACAACCCTGTCCCAATGACCACAGATACAACCCTGTCCCAATGACCACAGATACAACCCTGTCCCAATGACCACAGACACAACCCTGTCCCAATGACCACAGATACAACCCTGTCCCAATGACCACAGACACAACCCTGGTCCCAATGACCACAGACACAAGCCTGTCCCAATGACCACAGATACAACCCTGTCCCAATGACCACAGATACAACCCTGTCCCAATGACCACAGATACAACCCTGTCCCAATGACCACAGATACAACCCTGTCCCAATGACCACAGACACAACCCTGTCCCAATGACCACAGACACAACCCTGTCACAATGACCACAGACATAACCCTGTCCCAATGACCACGTGCTACCTATCAAGCATTTATCAAATGTGTGTTATCAAGTATTTGTAACCAAATACACCTGACACATCACATACAGAAACATTTCTTACTTGTCTGATGAAAATGTTTTGTAAAATAATCCAATGCTCACCTGTACTTGGTGAATAGCTACAGATGCCCATGCTAAATTCGCCGTTGCAACCTTTAAGAAAATCATTATTATTTATTTATTTCACAGGGACAATGCACATAAATGAACATTTCTGTAAATGTGCCATATTCAGCCAGCTGGCTAGTTTTCATCTGTATTCCTTGGGCAGATACATACTTTTTTTTTTGCATCACAAACATTTTGCATTAAAAATAAATACAAATATTTAAAAAAATAACAGTTCCAAAGTGGGCTTTAAAATAATAGAAGCTAAAAATAATTATAACAAAACAATTGTTAGCCTCCATGTACAGTGGGGAAAAAAGTATTTAGTCAGCCACCAATTGTGCAAGTTCTCTCACTTAAAAAGATGAGAGAGGCCTGTAATTTTCATCATAGGTACACGTCAACTATGACAGACAAAATGAGATTATTTTTTCCAGAAAATCACATTGTAGGATTTTTAATGAATTTATTTGCAAATTATGGTGGAAAATAAGTATTTGGTCAATAACAAAAGTTTCTCAATACTTTGTTATATACCCTTTGTTGGCAATGACACAGGTCAAACGTTTTCTGTAAGTCTTCACAAGGTTTTCACACACTGTTGCTGGTATTTTGGCCCATTCCTCCATTCAGATCTCCTCTAGAGCAGTGATGTTTTGGGGCTGTCGCTGGGCAACACAGACTTTCAACTCCCTCCAAAGATTTTCTATGGGGTTGAGATCTGGAGACTGGCTAGGCCACTCCAGGACCTTGAAATGCTTCTTACGATGCCACTCCTTCGTTGCCCGGGCGGTGTGTTTTGGATCATTGTCATGCTGAAAGACCCAGCCACGTTTCATCTTCAATGCCCTTGCTGATGGAAGGAGGTTTTCACTCAAAATCTCACGATACATGGCCCCATTCATTCTTTCCTTTACACGGATCAGTCGTCCTGGTCCCTTTGCAGAAAAACAGCCCCAAAGCATGATGTTTCCACCCCCATGCTTCACAGTAGGTATGGTGTTCTTTGGATGCAACTCAGCATTCTTTGTCCTCCAAACACGACGAGTTGAGTTTTTACCAAAAAGTTCTATTTTGGTTTCATCTGACCATATGACATTCTCCCAATCCTCTTCTGGATCATCCAAATGCACTCTAGCAAACTTCAGACGGGCCTGGACATGTACTGGCTTAAGCAGGGGGACACGTCTGGACACTGCAGGATTTGAGTCCCTGGCGGTGTGATCATTTTGACCCCACGGGTTGAGATCTTGCGTGGAGCCCCAGATCGAGGGAGATTATCAGTGGTCTTGTATGTCTTCCATTTCCTAATAATTGCTCCCACAGTTGATTTCTTCTAACCAAGCTGCTTACCTATTGCAGATTCAGTCTTCCCAGCCTGGTGCAGGTCTACAATTTTGTTTCTGGTGTCCTTTGACAGCTCTTTGGTCTTGGCCATAGTGGAGTTTGGAGTGTGACTGTTTGAGGTTGTGGACAGGTGTCTTTTATACTGATAACAAGTTAAACAGGTGCCATTAATACAGGTAACGAGTGGAGGACAGAGGAGCCTCTTAAAGAAGAAGTTACAGGTATGTGAGTGCCAGAAATCTTGCTTGTTTGTAGGTGACCAAATACTTATTTTCCACCATAATTTGCAAATAAATTCATTAAAAATCCTACAATGTGATTTTCTGGATTTTTTTCTCTCAATTTGTCTGTCATAGTTGACGTGTACCTATGATGAAAATGACAGGCCTCTTTCATCTTTTTAAGTGGGAGAACTTGCACAATTGGTGGCTGACTAAATACTTTTTTTCCCCACTGTATTTATATTTGACAGGGATATTTATTAATAGACATATAAACTGGACTTTCATATGATATGGGTAACATTCATCATATAATGAGTATTCCCGGTATTCCCATTTGACATTCCCATGTGTGTCCTCATCATGTTTGTTTATCCAACCTAATGCCCTCTCCAATAATGACTGGTACGTAACATCCCAGTGGGCAAAACTGGTTGAAAAGACGTCATTACAACAAGATTACGGTGACGTTCTTACAACGTTAATGCAACCATCCTTTCCCGCTGGGTAGTCATATAATTAACCCCTCAGTGCCTGTCACCTAAAAGTGTCTACCTGTCCTCTGATTGGCTCATTAGCAGCTAATAGCAGAGTTGCAAAACCTTGGTCTGGTCCTCAAGGACTCACTGATCGCTGCTCTCCTTATGAACGCCTAATGGAGCTATTACAGGAAGCCATTGCCTAGCCCTTAGCCTCTGCTGAGTCCCCAACAACTGGATGTTCCGCTTTTCAGGGGAAATGGAAAGAGCGCTTGTGACAAAACTTCAGCTTTTGGACGTTAACAAAGCAACGCTCCATCTTAACTCCTCCTCCACATTTACTGGATTGGTTGAACAGTACAGAAGAGAACCTTCCCCGACAGTTATTTTGTAGGGGATCTAGTTTCAGGTGTTTCTTTTACGCCTGCTACATTGGTTAGCTTGACCTAGAGAGTCAAATCACCTCTAAGGCTGTGTTCACACAGACAGGCTTCATGTGTATGTGTGCATGTTTGTGTGTGTGTATGTGTCTCTGTGCGTGTGTTGGTGTGTGTGTGCTTGTACCTCCTGGTTGCTGGAAGTGAAGGGCTCGTGGCCCCAGTGCCGATGCAGCTCCAGGATAGCTATGAGGTCACCGATGGCCGTGAGGATGGGGAGGCACAGGACAGAGTGAACATGATTCCCTGAGTCTGAGTCCTGTCCTGTGCCTTCAGGGAAACGCTCGTCCTGGAGAGAGAGGAGAGGAGAGGAAGAGCGAGAGAGAGAGAGGGGAGAGGAAGGGCCCGAGATTCGAGGAGAGAGAGAGAGAGGGAGAGGGAGAGAGAGAGAGAGAGAGAAGTAGAGACGAGAGCGAGAGCGAGAAGAGATGAAGAGAGCGAGTGGATGCGAGGAGGAGAGAGAGAGAGAGGAGAGAGTAGATAAGGTCAGACGAAGCGAGGGTCAGGCGATGATAAAGAGTGAGAGATGAGAAGGCACAGGTTAGATTAGAGTCAGCGATTAGTGGGCAGTGTTTAAGGTTGAGGATGATAAGCTCAGACAATGAACACAATCCCTATCTGAATCCCTGAGACTGAATCCCTGAGTCTGAATCCCTGAGACTGAATCCCTGAGTCGTCCTGCACAGAAGTCTGGGGTCCTGAGGTCAAAGTATTTGAAATAAAACATACACAATCTGAACCAAATACTTTGGGAAGTTTGATTTATCCTGCATTAGGGTTAGTGTTTTGGGTTAGTGTTTTAGGTTAGGGTAAGGGTTAGTGTTTTTGGGATAGGGTTAGGGTTTTGGGTTAGGGTTAGTGTTTTAGGTTAGGGTAAGGGTTAGTGTTTTGGGTTAGGGTAAGGGTTAGTGTTTTGTATTAGGGTAAGGATGGTGTTTTTGGGTTAGGATAAGGTTAGTGTTTTTGGGTTAGGGTAAGGGTTAGTGTTTTTGGGTTAGGGTTAGCATTTGGGGTTATGATAAGTGTTAGTGTTTTGGGGTTAGGATAAGGGTTAGTGTTTTTTAGGTTTAAGGGTTAGGGTTAGTGTTTTGGGTTAGTGTTTTAGTTTGGGTGGGTTAGTGTTTTTGGGTTAGGGTTGTTGTTTTGTGTTGTAGTTGTGTTTTGGGTAAGGGTTAGCATTGGGGTTGGTAGGTTAGTGTTTTGGGGTTAGGGTAGGGTTAGTGTTTTTGGTTAGGGTAAGGTTAGTGTTTTGGGTTAGGTTAGGTTTTTTTTGGTTATAGGTTAGTGTTTTTGGTGTTGGTGTTAGTGTTTTTTGTTTTGGGTTAGGGCTAAGGGTTATTGTTTTTGGGTTGGTTAGTGTTTTTTTGGTTTTAAGGTGTTTTAGTGTTTTTGGTTTAGGGTACGGTTCGTGTTTTTTGTGTTTCGGGTTTTTTTGGGTCTGGTTGTGTTTTTTGGTTTCGGTCCGGGTTAGTTTTTGGTTCTTAGGGTTATTGTTTTTTTTGGTGGGTCCGTTGTGTTTTGTGTTTAGGTTCCGTGTTAGTGTTTTGGGTTCGGGTTTGTAGGGTTTTGTGTTTTGGGTTGGGTGTAGCTTTGGGGTTGTAGTTTTTTTTGGTTGGTAAGGGTTCGTGTTTTTGGTTAGGTGTCCGGGTTCGTGTTTTGTGTTTTGGGTTAGTCTTTTGGTCTAGGTAGGGTTTGTGTTTTTGGGTTGGGTTAGTGTTTTTTGTTGTGTTTTTCTTCGTTGGTCCGGTTTCGTGTTTTGGGTTCGGTGTCCTGGTTCGTGTTTTGTTTTTGTGTGTCCGGTTGTTCGTGTTTTGGGTTAGGGTCTTGGGTTGTGGTTTTTTGGGTTCGGGTTGTTTTTTTCGGTAGGGTTAGTTTTTTGGGGTTAGGTACGTTTAGTGTTTTGGTTAGTATAGGTTTCGTTTTTTTGGGTTATGGGTAACGTGTTATGTTTTGGGTTAGGTTCTTTTTTTGTGGTGTTTGTTGGGTAAGGTTAGTGTTTTTTGGGTTAGGGTCAAGGGTTTATTGTTTTTTGGTGTTGGGTTTTTGGGGTTAGTGAGTCGTTATGTTTTTGTGTGTTAGGTAGGGTTAGTGTTTTGGGTTAGGGTTCTTTGGGTTAGGGTTGTGTTTGGGTTTAGTGTTTTTTTGGGTTAGGGTAAGGGTTAGTGTTTTGTTTTAGGGTAGAGTTGTGTTTTTGGGATGGTTGGTTTTTGGTTAGGTAGGGTATTTTTTGGTACCCAGTTAAGGGTTTAGTGTTTTGTGCCGTTGAGGGTTAGTGTTTTTGGTTTAGGGTTAGGGTTGTTTGTGTGGTTGTTTCTGGTTAAGTTTTAGGGTAAGGGTTAGTGTTTAGGGTTAGGGTAAAGATTAGGTGTATTTATAGTATGCTGAATCTCACCCCTGTGATGTCCTCTACTAGCAGTGTTTTGCGTGTTGTGGCGACGTGAGCGGCGATGGTGGTCCCAAACGTGATGGGACCAGCTGGGATGAGGGTGGGAGGACCGTCCTCAGCCCCCGTCGGTTTAAACAAACACAAGCTCTGAGGAAGGACCAGAGACACTCAATCAGGAGGGACCAGAGACAGAGAGATGAACAGGATGCACTCAATCAGGAGGGACCATAGAAGAGAAACCGCGAGATGAACAGGATGCACTCAATCAGGAAGGACCAGAGAGAGATGAACATGGATACACTCAATCAGGAAGGACCAGAGAGAGATGTAACATGGATCACTCAATCAGGAGGGACCAGAGAGAGAGACAGCGAGATGAACAGGATGCACTCAATCAGGAGGGACCAGAGACAGAGAGATGAACATGGATACACTCAATCAGGAAGGACCAGAGAGAGATGAACATGGATACACTCAATCAGGAAGGACCAGAGAGAGATGAACATGGATACACTCAATCAGGGACCAGAGCGAGAGAGATGAACATGGATACACTCAATCAGTCACTTACTATATACTACATCATGTTAGTCATTTAGCAGAAGCTCTTATCCAGAGCCACTTACAGTCAGTGCATTAATCTTAAAATAGCTAGGTGAGACAACCACCTATCCCAGTCATAGTCAGTCCACACTAATCACTCAGTAGACCAGATTAATTTACACAGACTCACTAAAAAGGTGCTATCTGCAATATGTCCACACATTTATTATTGAGGATATACATTGTTAATGCCTCATTAATTAAGGATTGTGGCTTTAAGACTCATCACTTACTAGACTAGATCAGTGGAGCTCAAAGTAGTTGATCTGACTATACAGTATGTGGTTCACTTACATTGTTGCATTCTCCCAAGAGGTAAAGTGCAAATCCGTCTGCTTTCGTGGCTGTTCAAAGACAAGAGATGTGTGACAGTTACAATCTGTAGTCTGTAATCTGTAGTTACCCAGATGGTGTGGTATACAGTATATGTTGTGTGTCAAGTGACGGAGCGCGGGGCGAGGGTGGAGCCCAGGGCGGAGCGCAGGGTGAGCACAGGGTGGAGCACAGGGCGAGGGCAGAACGCAAGGCGAGGGCGGAGCGCAGGGTGTGGGCGGAGCGCAGGGCGAGCGCAGGGCGGAGCACAGGGCGAGGGCAGGGCGAGTGCAAGGCGGAGTGCAAGGCGGAGCGCAGGGGGAGTGCAAGGCAGAGCGCAGGGTGAGGGCGTAGCACAGGGCGAGCGCATGGCGGAGCGCAAGGCGGAGCGCAGGGGGAGTGCAAGGCAGAGCGCAGGGCGAGTGCAGGGCGGAGCGCAGGGGGAGTGCAAGGCGGAGTGCAGGGCAGAGCGCAGGGCGAGCACAGGGAGGAGCGCAGGGCGAGGGCGTAGCACAGGGCAAGCGCAGGGCGGAGCGCAGGGCGGAGCGCAGGGCAGAGCGCAGGGCGAGTGCAGGGCGGAGCGCAGGGCAGAGCGCAGGGCGAGCACAGGGAGGAGCGCAGGGTGAGGGTGTAGCACAGGGCGAGCGCAGGGCAGAGCGCAGGGCGAGCGCAGGGCGGAGCGCAGGGCGGGAGCAGGGCAGGGCGGGGGCAGGGCGAGTGCAAGGCGAGCGCAGGGTGAGGGAGGAGTGTAGGGCGAGCGCAGGGCGGAGCACAGGGCGAGGGCAGGGCGAGTGCAAGGCGGAGTGCAGGGCGGAGCGCAGGGCGGATCACAGGGTGTGGGCGGAGCGCAGGGCGAGGGCTGAGCGCAGGGTGAGGGCGTAGCACAGGGCGAGCACAGGGCGAGGGCAGGGTGAGTGCAAGGCGGAGTGTAGGGCGGAGCGCAAGGCGGAGCGCAAGGCGGAGCGCAGGGGGAGTGCAAGGCGGAGCGCAGGGGGAGGGTGTAGCACAGGGCGAGCGCAGGGGGAGGGTGTAGCACAGGGCGAGCGCAGGGCAGAGCGCAGGGCGAGCGCAGGGCGGGGGCAAGGCGGAGTGCAGGGGGAGGGTGTAGCACAGGGCGAGTGCAGGGCAGAGCGCAGGGCGAGCTCAGGGCGGAGCGCAGGGCGGGGGCAGGGCGAGTGCAAGGCGGAGTGCAGGGCGGAGCGCAAGGCGAGCGCAGGGTGAGCGTAGGGCGGAGCGCAGTGTGAGGGCGGAGTGCAGGGCGAGCGCAGGGCGGAGCGCAGGGCGGATCACAGGGGAGGGCAAGGCGAGCGCAGGGCGAGGGAGGAGTGTAGGGCGAGCGCAGGGCGGAGCGCAGGGTGTGGGCGGAGCGCAGGGCGAGGGCTGAGCGCAGGGCAAGGGCGGAGCGCAGGGCAAGGGCGGAGCGCAGGGTGTGGGCGGAGCGCAGGGTGTGGGCGGAGCGCAGGGCGAGCGCAGGGCGGAGCACAGGGCGAAGGCGGAGCGTAGGGTGAGGGTGTAGCACAGGGCGAGCGCAGGGCGGAGCGCAGGGCGAGGGCAGGGCAAGTGCAAGGCGGAGTGCAAGGCGGAGTGCAGGGCAGAGCACAGGGAGGAGCGCAGGGTGAGGGCGTAGCACAGGGCGAGCGCAGGGCGGAGCGCAAGGCGGAGCGCAGGGGGAGTGCAAGGCAGAGCGCAGGGCGAGTGCAGGGCGGAGCGCAGGGGGAGTGCAAGGCGGAGTGCAGGGCAGAGCGCAGGGCGAGCACAGGGAGGAGCGCAGGGCGAGCGCAGGGCGAGTGCAAGGCGGAGTGCAGGGCGGAGCGCAAGGCAGAGCGCAGGGCGGAGCGCAGGGGGAGTGCAAGGCGGAGCGCAGGGCGGAGCGCAGGGCGAGTGCAGGGCAGAGCGCAGGGCAGAGCGCAGGGCGAGTGCAGGGCGGAGCGCAGGGCGAGCACAGGGAGGAGCGCAGGGTGAGGGTGTAGCACAGGGCGAGCGCAGGGCGGAGCGCAGGGCGGGGGCAGGGCAGGGCGGGGCAGGGCGAGGGAGGAGTGTAGGGCGAGCGCAGGGCGGAGCACAGGGCGAGGGCAGGGCGAGTGCAAGGCGGAGTGCAGGGCGGAGCGCAAGGCAGAGCGCAGGGCGGAGCGCAAGGCAGAGCGCAGGGCGGAGCGCAGGGGGAGTGCAAGACCGGAGCGCAGGGCGGAGCGCAGGGCGAGTGCAAGGCGGAGCGCAGCGCAGGGGGAGTGCAAGGCGGAGTGCAGGGCAGAGCACAGGGAGGAGCGCAGGGTGAGGGCGTAGCGCAGGGCGAGCGCAGGGCGGGGGCAGGGCGAGGGCAGGGCAGGGGCAGGGCGAGGGCAGGGCGGGGGCAGGGCGAGTGCAAGGCGGAGTGCAGGGCGGAGCACAAGGCGGAGTGCAAGGCGAAGTGCAGGGCGGAGCACAAGGCGGAGTGCAAGGCGAGGGCAAGGCGGGGGCGAGGGCAGGGCAGGGGCGAGGGGCGAGGGGAGGGCAGGGCAGGGGCAGGGCGAGGGCAGGGCGGGGGCAGGGCGAGTGCAAGGCGGAGTGCAGGGCGGAGCACAAGGCGGAGTGCAGGGCGGAGCGCAAGGCGGAGTGCAAGGCGGAGCGCAGGGCGAGCAGCCTGTCACATCCGATCCTCCCATGCCACATCAGGGCACCGTGGCAATATAGAGCTTTGGGACATGTCCCAGTCTTCTACACCACACACACACGGTACACCATACACCCACACCCACACCCACACACACGCACACACACACACACTCGCACACACAACACAACATACACACTCGCACACACACTGACAGAGCTCCGCCACAGACAGAGACACTGAAGACAGTGGACACTGCACCATGTTGCACCATTGGTCCCAGTATAGTTAGTGTCAGCTTAGCTTGGTCCGAGATCTGTTTGATATCTGCATCAATCTAGCCTGGTCCCAGATCTGTTTGTGTGGTATAGTCAACTCCTAAGGTTGCTGTCATGCCAAACGTGACCAAAAATGGACCATTGGAGTTGGCAAGGTGACAAACAGATCTAGGACCAGGGCTAAGCTGTCAGCTAACTTCAATGTGAGACGTGGTGAAGCGAGGATATACGCAAGGCAGATTAACCAGGCACCTGCTGGCTACAAAGAGGGCTTTACCCACCCGTTGTGAGTGTGAGTGTGTGAGTGTGTGAGTGAGTGTGTGTTACCCACCTGTTTTGATGACGGTGCACAAGTCATATAGCAACAGCTTGTTGTCTCCCCCAGGGTCCAGACGCTGTTCCAGATAGCTGGTGAGGTCATCCACCACGTTCTGCATGTTACTGTCCTGGTACTGCTAGACACAAGAGAGACATCCACCACGTTCTGCATGTTACTGTCCTGGTACTGCTAGACACAGAGAGACATCCACCACTTTCTGCATGTTACTGTCCCTGGTAACTGCTAGACACAAGAGAGACATCCACCACGTTCTGCATGTTACTGTCCTGGTACTGCTAGACACAAGAGAGACATCCACCACGTTCTGCATGTTACTGTCCTGGTACTGCTAGACACAAGAGAGACATCCACCACGTTCTGCATGTTACTGTCCTGGTACTGCTAGACACAAGAGAGACATCCACCACGTTCTGCATGTTACTGTCCTGGTACTGCTAGACACAAGAGAGACACACGTTACATTCACACACACACGCACACACACACGCTCACACACACGCTCACACACACGCTCACACACACCACACCTCACACACACACACTCTCACACCACACCTCACACACACACCCCACACCTCACCCCACTCACACACACGCTTCACCCCACACGCTCACACACACACACACACTACACACACCACACGCTCACACACAGGCACACACACACACTCACACACACACCATGCAACTGCCTCCTGCATATGCTGACTGTGATATAACTGTGACCATTGCATCCAATAATAACTATAATGAATTGAGCTTTTCTCCTGTCATTCACAACGACAGACTTCATTCATTCATTTAGCCAGGAAAGTCCAATCAGTAAAAATTGCCACTGTTTTCCAGGGATTCCTGGGTTCCACACACACTTAGAAAAATGGGTTCCAAAAGGGTTCTTCAGCTGTCTCGATAGGACAACCCATTTTGGTTCCACGTAGAACCCTTTTGGGTTCAATGTAGAACCCTCTGTGGAAAGGGTCCTACATGGAACCCAAAAGAGTTCTACCTGGAACCAAAAGGTTTCTACTTGAAACTAAATAGGGTTCTTCAAAGGGTTCTCCAATGGGGACAGCCGAAGAATACTTTTAGGTTCTAGATAGCACCTTCGTAGAATCAAATGCATTCATTCATTTATTAATTGCTTAATTAAATAATGAATCCCCATTCACCCCTCCCCCCCCCCGATTAGAACACTCTCTCCCTCTCTCTCTCCCTCTCCCCCTCCCCCTCTCTCTCTCTCTCCCTCTACATCTCTCTCTCCCCCTCTCTCTCTCTCTCCCCCTCTCCCTCTCTCCCTCTCTCCCTCTACATCTCCTCTCCTCCCTCTCCCTCTCTCCCTCTCTCCCTCTACCCTCTCTCTCTCTCCCTCTCCCTCCTCCCCCTCTCCCCTCTCCCTCCTCCCCCTCTCCCCCTCCTCCTCTCCTCTCCCTCTCTCCCTCTCTCCCTCTCTCCCTCTACATCTCTCTCGCATGATTGCTCAGTTGACTGAGGAGCAGCTCTACATCTCTATGTATTGTTACATAACAGACCCAGACCTCTCTCTCTCCTTCACAGGGCCAGAGAGACCAGAGACTATTGCTGTGCCTGCAGAGAGAGACAGAGAGAGAGGTCAGAACAGGCCGATGGAGGGAGAGAGACCCAGGACCAGCTTACTTAGGGGACTCTTCTCCAAGTTCATCTCTCTGTAGGTGATGGCTTTGTTATGGAAGGTTTGGGAATCGCTTCCTTTTAAGTGGTTATAGAATTTAACAGCTTTTTTCTGGATTTTGATAATTAGTGGGTATTGGCTTAATTCTGCTCTGCATACATTATTTGGTGGTTTTCGTTATACACAGAGGATATTTTTGCAGAATTCTGCATGCAGAGTCTCAATTTGGTGTTTGTCCCATTTTGTGAATTCTTGGTTGGTGAGCGGACCCTAGACATCACAACCATAAAGGGCAATGGGTTCTATAACTGATTCAAGTATTTTTAGCCAGATCCTAATTGGTATGTCGAATTTTATGTTCCTTTTGATGGCATAGAAAGCCCTTCTTGCCTTGTCTCTCATATCGTTCACAGCTTTGTGAAAGTTACCTGTGGCACTGATGTTTAGGCCGAGGTATGTATAGTTTTTTATGTGCTCTAGGGCAACGGTGTCTGGATGGAATTTGTATTTGTGGTCCTGGCAACTGGACCTTTTCTGGAACACCATCATTTTTGTCTTACTGAGATTTACTGTCAGGGCCCAGGTCTGACAGAATCTGTGCAGAAGATCTAGGTGCTGCTGTAGGCCCTCCTTGGTTGGTGACAGAAGCACCAGATCATCAGCAAACAGTAGACATTTGACTTCAGATTCTAGTAGGGTGAGGCCGGGTGCTGCAGACTGTTCTAGTGCCCTCGCCAATTCGTTGAAATATATGTTGAAGAGGGTGTGGCTTAAACTGCATCCCTGTCACATCCCACGGCCCTGTGGAATTTTTTGTGTGTGTTTTTTGCCAATTTTAACCGCACACTTGTTGTTTGTGTACATGGATTTTTTGTGTACATGAATTTTATAATGTTACCCCACTTTCCATCAATTTGTATAGCAGACCCTCATGCCAAATTGAGTCAAAAGCTTTTTTGAAATCAACAAAGCATGAGAAGACTTTGTCTGTTTTGTTTTGATTGTCAATTAGGGTGTGCAGGGTGAATACGTGGTCTGTCGTACGGAAATTTGGTAAAAAGCCAATTTGACATTTGCTCAGTACATTGTTTTCACTGAGGAAATGAACTAGTCTGCTGTTAATGATAATGCAGAGGATCTTCCCAAGGTTGCTGCTGACGCTTATCCCACGGTAGTTATTGGGGTCAGATCTGTCTCTACTTTTGTGGATTGGGGTGATCAGTCCAAATATTGGGGAAGATGTCAGAGCTAAGGATGATGTTAAAGAGTTTAAGTATAACCAATTGGAATTTGTAGTCTGTATATTTTATCATTTAATTTAGGATACCATCAACACCACAGGCCTTTTTGGGTTGGAGGGTTTGTATTTTGTCCTGTAGTTCATTCAATGGAATTGAAGAATCCAGTGGGTTCTGGTAGACTTTAATAGTTGATTCTAAGATTTGCATTTGATCATGTATATTTTTTTGCTGTTTGTTCTTTGTTATAGGGCCAAAAAGATTGGAGAAGTGGTTTACCCATACATCTCTGTTTTGGATAGATAGCTCTTCGTGTTGTTGTTTGTTTAGTGTTTTCCAATTTTCCCAGAAGTGGTTAGAGTCTATGGATTCTTCAATTACATTGAGCTGATTTCTGACATGCTGTTCCTTCTTTTTCCGTAGTGTATTTCTGTATTGTTTTAGTGATTCATCATAGTGAAGGCGTAGGCTCAGGTTTTTTCTCTCTCTCTCTCTCTCTCTCTCTCTCTCTATCTTACCCTCGCTCTCTTTCTTTCTACCCATACCTCTCTCTCCTCTCTCAATTTTCAATTTCAAACAGTAAACATTACACTCGTAAAAGTTCCAAAAGAATAAAAGACATTTCAAATGTCATTTTATGTATATATACAGTGTTGTAACAATGGGCAAATAGTTAAAATCAAAAAGGAAAAAAAATAAAAATAAAAATGGGTTTTATTTACAATGGGGTTGTTCTCATGGTTCCCTTTTTTTGTGGCAACGGGGCACAAAACTTGGGGCGTGATGGCACACTGTGGGATTTCCCCAAAAACCCCAAAAAAAAATGGGGTTTATCAAAAAATTGGGTTTGTTTTTTTTAATTCTTTGGGATCTCTGAAACTGAGGGAAAAATGTGCTCAAAATGGTCACACATTGGCAGGGGGGTTAGGAAGTGACTCAGGTTTTCCCCCTCATTTTTTGGGCAGTGTGCACATGCCTGTTTCTCTTTAGACCAGCTGCCTTTGGGGGCCTTTTTCAAAACCAATCTTCTCACATAGTCTTAATATCAAAAAATTTCCCTTTAATTTTTTGGGTCTCACATGGTCAGGGATTTCCCCTGTTCTCTTGTTTTTGGGGCCTACATCTTTTTGCTCGTTTTTTTGTTTAATACTTCCAATGTGTCAAGTAATTTTCTTTTTTTTTTCCCTGATTTGGTTTTGGGGCTAATTGTGGGTTTTTGTCTGGGGCATGTGGGGGCTGTTTTTTGAAAAGCCCCATACCCCAGCTTTGGCTTAGGGGGTTTTCCGGTTAATTTACCAGTCTTCTAAACCCAAAAAACAATTTCCATAAAAAAAACCCACAACCCCCACCCCAAACACAGCACAACCCCACAAACTGACACACAAAACAAAACACACTGCACAACACTGACAGAAAGCTCCGCCAAAAAAAGAGACACTGAAGACAGTGGGAAAACCCGACCAAAGTTGCACCATTGGGCCCAGTATTGTTTTTTTGGGCAGCTTAGCTTGGTCCGAGATCGTTTTATATTGCATCACTAAACCTGGTCCCAGATCGTTTGTGTGGTTTTTCAACTCCTAAAGGGTTTCTGTCATGCCAAAGGACCAAAAATGGAACCCCCTTGGGGGTGGCAAGGTGACAAACAGATTTAGGGGCAGGGCAAGCGTCAGCAACTTCAAGTGAGACGGGGGGGGTTTAAGGGGAATACCCAAAGGGAGATTAACCAGGCACCCGCTGGCAAAAAAGGGCTTTTCCCAAAAGGGGTGAGGGGAGGGTGGGGTGTGTGAGTGAGTTGGGGGGTTTCCCCCCTGTTTGGGGGGAAGGGGCCAAAAATTCCCAATTAGAAAAAACTTTTTTGCCCCCCCCCGGGTCCAACGTTTTTTCCGATAGCGGGGGAGGTCATCCCCCACGTTTGCATGTATGTTCCTGGTACTGGCTAGAAAAAGGGGAGACATTTACCAAAGTTCTGCATGTTTTCTGTCCTGGTTTCTGCTAGAAAAAGAAAAGAATCCACCAAGTTCTGCATTTTTAATGTCTGGACTGCTAGACACAAGAGAGACACCACCACGTTTTGCCTTTACGGGCCTGGACCCGCTAACACAAGAGAGACAACCCCCACGTTCGCCCGTTTTCTGCCTGGAGGGTAAAACACAAGAGAGGGGAAACCACCACGTTCGGGATTTATGTCCTGTATGCTAGGGAAAAAGAGAGACATCCACCACGTTC